AAAGTAAAAAAGTCAAGAAAAAAAGATAAAAATCTAAATAAAAAGTAAAAAAAGTCAAGAAAAAAGATAAAAAGCTGAATAAAAAGTAAAAAAGTCTTGAAAGAAAGATAAAAAGCTAATTAAAAAGTAAAGTTAAAAAGTTAAAAAGCCTAGTTAACAATTATTTTCAGGTTTATAAACTAAAAATGTCAGCCACAGTATCGGCATTAATGCCTCTAAGGTTATGTTGGACCAAACAAAATGTGATTCTTTCACTCAGTGTTTTTCGTAAATTTCTTATAGAAGCACTTTTGTAATTTTTCTAAATATAGTTGATGTTTCTTGTTATTACATTGACTTTAATTTTTGCCATCAAACTATTCATATTTTTTTTAAATGTTACAAAGGTAATAAGGTCTAGTCCTGGATTCCAATAACACTATTGGCTGGAAAACTTGATTTACAAAGTACTCCACCGAGAGCCCTATGAAGGGTTAATTAGAAAATTAGCTTTTAAAATTTTTTTGGAGCTGTTTCGTTTTTTTTTTTTTCCTTTTTGTTTTTTTGGCACCCAACAAATTGACCAAGCAGGTTTTTAATTTTCTCATTGAATCAGGCTGAGCTGACTGGAAAGAAACAATAAAAAATTTATTTCAGTTTCTTAATGTATCTCCTATTTCATAAGAAAATGTTCATAATCATTTATGTGCAGACATTCGTCTTTGCTTCTCATTCTATATCTTTGTGTCCCCCCCCCCCAAATTTGTGACAAAAAAACCCACAGATAAATTGACGTACTTTTTGAATCCTAAGGAATAATTTCACTCCATTCAGGGTCTTTAGTTCTCCTTAGATCAGGCATTTCCAACCTTTTTGCCTCATCAGCCAAAATGAATCAGTTTAGAGAAATTAAGGGAATGTTTGTTTATTTGTAACACTGAAAGAATTTACATTTAGAGGGGAGAATTGCATTTCTTGATGAATTATTTTTCTGATTGGTGTTAGAAAAATAAAAAGTTGTCACAATTTAAAAATGAAAACAAAATGTCCAAATAAATGATTGCAGCTCAGATTCATGATGCCTTGATTTATGATTTGGCTCAAACTGAATCAGAGGCACTAATGGCTGCACTATGGACATCAGCATTTAACACTAACTTGGTGATGTTTTGATACTAATCAAGGAGCTGATTTTGATTTTTGACTTTTAAAAATAAATGAGCTTAAAACTGAGCTATGAACAGTTTATAGTAATTAGAATATTGTAGGCGAGAATCAAAGTAGATTTTGGTGACTCAAACTGTAGGATGTTAGAATCAGACTTGTAAACTGTATTTCTTTGCCTCTCCTTTTCAGTCATGGCTGTTGTCAGATTCTACAGCAGCGAAGCTCTTCATGGACGAGCCTTGCAGAGAGCAGCCAAGCTCTTCCCCAATCTGTTGATCAAAACTGAGCTTTGCTTCAACGTGGAGCTGACAGGTCAGATCCTGCCGCTCAGACGGTGTGGACGCTTTAAAAACGTCCGGTTTCTGGTTTCATCTTTGTCCTGATCTCTGCTGCAGGTGGCGAAGGTCTGGATGCGGAGCAGAAGGAGGTCCTGCTGTGGTTGTTTCGTCCTCCGCTGCAGGCAGAGCCGCTCTCTGACCAACCGAAGCTCACAGAGGGAGGCGGGGCCAAGCTTGTAGAGATCGGACCGAGGTGCTGCTTGATGATTGGCGGCTTTTGGCAACATTTTTATCTGAGACATGAATGCATTTATGTGTTTGCACAGCCTCTAGATAAGATTCATTGCACAAGTATGATCTTGAACAATTTTATTAATAGAAATATCCTAGCTTCTATCTTCTGCCTGAACCACCACAGGTTTTCGGTCTCTAAACCTCTGAAGCCATAAAAAAAAAATCTCTGAACCATTTTTTAATTTATTGACCAAACGTTCTGGACTTTTATTCTCCAAATGGACCCAGTAGAGAACCCGTTTCCAAAGAGTTCATCACAAATGCACTCTTAACGAGATACAAACCCACAGCATCACAGATCCTCCACTGTACTCAACATTAGACATGAATACAGTGTCTCTCCTTAGGGCTAAAAGTTCAACCCTAGTCTCTCAGTTTCAGTAAAAGCAAAGTAGAGTCTTTACATCATGTTAAATTGGGATTGATAAAGTATTTTTAAATTGAATTATCATAAAGAACATTTTTTCCAGTTGGCATATAGAAAGAATTTAATGTGTCGGCTTTGGTTTTAATCCTCTTCTCTATGATTGCAAAGTAGCCATAGATCCTCTTCTATCCTAGTGACCAGTTGCTGAATTAAATCCTCATCACATTATATTTGTTCCCTAGAAAAACAAATTGTAGTCAATTTATTAGCAAATCCACCTCAAACTGTCCTTTCTTCATGTGTATGGGCTTATATTCTGATTTAGGTTTTATTTTTCTCCGTGCTCCTGCTGCTACAAACAGAAATTGAGTTTATCTTGATCACTGAGGTGGTTCCTAATAATCTTTCTGCTCCCTGGATTTCTTTTAGATGTGTGTAGAGTTTTACTTTTGTATTCGGGGACATCAGGAAGTGCTGACATTTATTTGAGAAGTGAATTTCTTCATGAGCTGAAAGTTTAATGGGATCAGTATGAATATTTATCCAGAGCTTATAATTAATGTTCATATTAAATAATAACTGAACTTTATTGGAGAAATTTTATCTCTGAATTTAACCCATCCCTTTGGGGAGCCATCATTGAGCGCCCGGGGAGCTGTGTGAGGTTAAGGGTCTTGCTCAGGGGCCCATAATGGTGGCTGTTGGAATCGAATTGGGAAGTTAAATAGGAACCTATCTAATTATATTAAGAGAATTATTTTATTGGCGAATACCTCTTCCTTGTTTTCTCTTAGGTCCGAATATTTTTATCACTGATTCTAGTTTTTCCAAAGCCTTTTTAAAATGAGGATTAGGAAAATAGAAATAGGCCAAAGATTATTCTGGTTTGCTGGTGATGAATTTATTAGGGAGAGGAGTTGGCTGGATGGATAGATGAGGAAACTACGGTGGCCCTGAAGTGCAAACTGCAACTACAAATCTAAAAGCGCAACTACATTAAGAAAAACAAAACTACATAAAGCAAGTTTTTCTTAATGTAGTTGCACTTTTAGATTTGTAGTTGCAGTTTGCACTTCAGGGCCACCGTAGGAAGCTGGTCTCAGGATGCAGATTAGTATAAATGTGTAAAGCTGGCTGAAGTGAACTCTTTACTGAGTAGTCGGCTGTTGATCGCCCTCACTGGTGAAAAATTGTCTGAAACTAAAAAATTTCCTCTTTTTATCATCGTGTTCACAGGTTGAATTTCTCCACCGCCTGGTCCACCAACGCCGTGTCCATCTGCCAGAGCGCCGGCCTCTCCAACGTCACCCGAGTGGAGCAGTCTCGCCGGTTTTTAATCAAGGTAAAAATCTCAGTGTCACAAATCGATTCAATCCCCCGAATCTCGAGACGACCCGTCTGTCTCCCCGTCTGTCTCCCCGTCAGGCCAAGAATGGACAGAGCGTGAGCGAGCTCAGCGGAGATCTAAAGAAGCTGATCGAGGTTCTCCATGACAGCATGACGGAGTGCGTCTACCAACAGCCCATCACCTCTTTCGCTGTAGAAACCAGGCCACAGCCGGTGTTTGAGGTGGACATCCTGGGGAAGGGTCGCGTCGCCTTGGAGACGGCAAACCATGAGCTGGGTGAGGGTTCAGCCGTTCTGGGGGGGGTTCTGCTCAGTTTTTACTCCAACTCTTTAATGAAATAGCGTGACCTCTCTCTCATCTCTTTCTTCATGCTTTCCTCTCAGCCTTGCAGCTCTCTGTAAGTACTGTGTGCTGAAGGAGGCCATAATGTCACATGATGCATGACATTACCACTTAACTTCTCAGAGTCACAAGACGATGAGGGCGCTGCTGATTAGCAGACTTGTTGTGCACGTGTCACATTGCTGTGTGCTTGACTAATATAATGATCCAACTGCAGATCTGCCTCATTAAATGCACCAACCAGCCTAGATGTTCTTGTGACCTGAAGGTTGAGTGTATTTTTAAAAAGGAAAACCTTTTACAACAGCATGCGCTTTTCTCCAGGTTTCAACCTCAAATTCCAAAGTTTTTATTTAGGTTCATGACTAAAAAAGACAACTATATTAAACCAAAATACAACTATATTAAACCTCATCCAAAATAGGTTATCATGAGCTATTTTCTGCATTTGTGCTGCTATAGGCTTAGACTGCTGGAGGACATAGGGA